CATGAACATTAAATTATAGAGACAAGAATTATGAACGCCATGATGTCGCGTGAAAAAAGGCAAAATTTTTAATTCAGAATTGAAATATTTCAAGAATTCTTCATAAAGTATATGAAAATAAGTTAAGGATTCCTTAAGGTGACTGCCTACTTTTGGAAATTGATTTAATAAACTTTTTTTAAAACTTTGATTTTCTGAATTGRAATTTAATGCTGATTCCAAATATGGAAAGAAAAATAGGGTGTCCGGAGCTCGTTTTTCGAGATAATCAGCATTTAATGGAAGCCTACACACGAGATTGGTAGTGATGCTGGTCAGACTAAACACTTAGATGAACTAGTTGATATGTGGTGTGACCAATTGACTCTCCTGTCCAAAATTGCAAGATCAGAGCCACCAGYTGCCTATGCTACATTCACAAGTGGTTTTAGACACAAAATGATTTACTATATCAGAATAATACCTAACATCAACAGTGTTCTTACCAGGCCGCGCCATTGCAGGAATCGCGCATAAAAAAACAGAAATGGCGCACAAATTTCAACTCTATGCGCCGTCAAGGGCGCATGAATTATCCAAAGAATGCTTCCTGATAATTTCAAAAGATTTAGAGTACTTTTGAAATAATAAAAGTCGCATTATATTGTCAATAAACAAGGTGAAAGTCCACGTGCAACGACACAAATTGAACGAAGCCGCCATCTTGTATTGGAGGCTCGAGTATGGCTGCCCAGCGCAAGTTGGCAAGTTGTATTATCAATACTACTAAAAAGCTGTCTTACATTGTTGTAGATTTGCAACAGAGTTACTGGCAAAAAACATCATTATTCTTTGTTTTAAGATATTGGAAGTGGCCCATCCAGTTTTCTAAATGGCCCCTAAATTTTGGATTGGTGGGCCCTTTGACCCCCTGAAAGAAATTCCTGGTCAGAACACTGCATCAAGCAGCACCTTTTGAAATTAGATGAGGTAGTAGATAACAAGTTTATTCCTGCAATCACAGAAGTCATATCTGTACTGCAGATTAACGACTTTTGCTGTCTTTGCCAGTTAAGAAAGGAGGCCTGGCAATACCCATTTTCTCTAACATTTCCGATCTCGAGTATGCAAACTCCTGTATAGCAACTCAACAGCTGGTCACAAACATCAAAGATCAAAATAACACATCACCAATTGATAGTGAACAGCTCAAGAACACAAGAAAGAACATAATCAGAGTCAGAGACCATTCTACAACAAATTTGTGAGAAGATGAGTCAAGAACAACTCAGAGATAAAGATCTAAGCAGAATGAAGGGTGTATCAAGCTGACTTAGTAACTACTCTACCATTAAAGTCAGAAAACTTCAACCTGAATAAGAGAGAGTTCTATGATGCCCTCAACCTTAGATATCACTGGACACCAAACTACCTTCCATCAATATGCCTCTGTGGTAAGAGATTCGATGTTGACCATGCTATGTCATGTATGAAAGACAGATTCGTTCACCAGTGCCAAGACGACGTCGGAGATCTGTTCGCATACCTACTAAAAGATGTGTGCTATGACGTCCAAGTGGAGCCAGAGCTTGAACCACTTACTGGAGAAGTTCTCCTCCTCACTGCGGATGAGGCTTGACTTAATGTCAGTGCCAGAGGATTTTGGCAAAGGGGGCAACATTTATTCTTTGATGTGAGGGTTTTTAACCCTTTTGCAAAGAGCCACCTTAACCAGAAACTAAGCACTAACTTTACTCATCTTTATTTCATATGAAGGAAATGGCAAGGAAGCAGAACACTTTATTTCAGAACTTGCATTAAAACTATCTAAGAAGAAACAACTTGAGTACAACACATTAATTATTTGGCTCAGAATAAAACTTTCCAATAAATTTGATAAGGTCAGCAGTACCATATATACGAGGAACAAGGAACTATTAAGAAATTAAATTATGACATAGACAATGCACAAATTGAAAATAGTTTTTTATAGAATTGAATTGTTATTTATTAGATATATTTAAAATTTATTTATTCAAATTATTTTAGTCGTATACATATACCACCCATCATTCGGGTGTCCAGTTTATTTTATTTTATTTTTATTTATTTATTTTGATTCAATATGAAGCTAATATAGTTTTTATAGATTGTCAATAAAGTTTTTCATCTTATGGTTCCTCGTAAAGCTAAAGATGAATTTCACTGTAAATGTGTTTTAAAAGTTTTGAAATTGCCCGATTCCCGAACACTCATGAAATTAATTCTTAATTTTACTCAATGTCATACAATTACCTATACTATTAAATTATATGAATTTGGATATTTACAGTTCTCATTAATCTAATTTTTTTAGAAAAATTGTAAATTTTAGCTGCTGATAAAATGATTTCTATGTGATATTGGTTCAAGGTGTATTTCCGATAGATTTTGAATGGTAATGATCTAATAAGTACCTATTTTTTTAAAAAAGCCTCTAATTTATGCCCAAATATATCAATTATAAGAGGTGGCAATTACATCTTCATGACATCTATTTATTGAGTGGATCTTTGTTCAACTTGATCGAACAAAATATATTTTAATAAATTACTAGGCTCAACCTAACTTTTTTCTGAAAACAAATTTGCTTTTTGATATACAAATCAACTTTTGAATTAGATGAAGTGATGACATGTTGGTTGTTTAGAAAGAATACTCTTAATATTCACATAATCAAAGGATTATATAAAGATCAAAATTAATGAATAAATGAAACTTATACAGTAAATACGGTTTAAGTTTAAGGCTTTTCACTAATTTACAGACATATTTTCATTTTTTACCATTTTGATTAAAAAATTTGCTGTAAATGCACTGATGTAGATTTCACCATTTGGACTGATTAAAAAAATATTCACAAATTAACACATTGTCGATTTTATCATTAATAGGAAGCAAAAGGAGGCAAGTCTTATGTCAAGGTAAAGTTATATTTATGTCTGTGACAATTAAGTTACAGTGTCTATTCTTAAACAGAAGTAAAGTGTTATTCAAAACTCTTCATACATTCAAAATTTTGGCATTGTCCTGTTTAAAGTGTTTTAATTTGTGCTTGACAAGAAAGAGAAATAATTAGTGAACATCTAAAGCCTGGTTTCTATTTGATTGCTGCAATCACTGTTATCACCCCAAAAAGTGTTTCAGTGAATCATGATTTTATGGGTTCAACACATCTTCAATAATCATGGCAATCACGGTGACAATAAATTTCTTATTCATGAAAAAAAATTGTGAAATGATTACACAGTAGCTTTTGCACTCTAGCTTGTATCCATATGACTGCCCGGGGGGGGGGGGGGGG